TTTGTGTTACAAAAATTTCTAATCAATCTTATAGAGAAAAATAATAATATCTCAAAAGATCAATAAGAGTTTACAAGAGGAATTCCACATATAATGTCTATTGAAGTCTCAATCATATACACAAGAAAAATCTATGAATTCGTATACTATAATTTAATTGCATATATAACTCTTTAATTATTTTTTAACCACATCAGTAAGTCAATTATAATCATGTTACGTTTAAGAAAAAGTAAGTTAAGTTTTATCGATTCATCAATGATTCAATGATCATCAATATTGTATTAAAAAGAGTTAATTGATTTTAATATGAAATTTATTATGACATGATTTTTGTTTTCGATTATAAGTATCTATAACAATACGCATCTTTACTACTATTTTTATCACCAGTTATAAATATTCATTTTAATTATATTAAAAGTAATCATTTTTATTTTGTATTAATTAACTTTCGTATTTAAAAATTATATCAAATTGTTAACTTATTTTAATTTTCATATTTCACATTAATTTAATCACGCAATGCACATATTATAATTAGTCTTTAAAATAAAATGAGTTAAATTTTATATACTTCTCAATTAACTTGTTCTTTATCGAGGAGGGTATGAACAAATAAACATTGGTTAGTATTCCATCCAAATTAACTCATACTTTAAAGTCAACAATTTTGACGAAGATTGAAAGGTTGCATTCTGGCCGAACTAAAATATAACCCTCTGAAATTGTCCCCTCTTGTAGCAATACATGAAACTGCTATTCAATAATTTATAATTCACAATTTTTTTAAAATAAAATAATTAAATAAGCATTACCAATGTTGTAAAATTAATTAAAGATTTCAAGATGTTTAAAATAATGTTTTCCTTAAAATTCTATTTTTTAAGTACTACTGACTCTCTACAATATAGTATTTGTTCATCTTTATACTTACTTTTTCAACCTACTAAAACACAAAGAGTAGCCATAGTTATACCGCTCGACCAGACCTTTGGCTCCTTAAAATTCTACTTAACTAGCAACAATTACATATATAAAATATCCAAATAGATCTCCAAAATACAATGGGATTTATACTTTTAGGGTGTGTTTGGAAACCTGAAAAATGAGTTCTGGAAATCATTTTCTAAGTTTTCATTGTTTGGATGTGCTTGGAAAATCAAGTCAACGGAAATCATTTTTCGTTGACTTTGGAAAATAGGCTTGTTTTGGAGGAAAATGACTTCCCCTTTTTTTGGGGAAGTCATTTTCCAACTTTTACGCCAACATCACACCACCACCAACATCATCAACACCATACCACCACCACTTCACTACCACCATCACCACCACTACTGCAACTGCCACCACTACTATACCACCACAACCACCGCCACCACACCACCACCACTACCACCACCAACACCATACCACCGCAACCACTACCACCACTAACACCATACCACCACCACTGTTGCCACCACCACCACCACCATACCACCGCAACCATCATCGCCGCCACCACCACCACCATACCACCGCAACCACCGTCGCCGTCACCACCACCATCACACCACCACCACTACCACCATCGCCGCCGTCACCACCACCACCGCAACCACCACCATACCACCGCAACCACCGCCACCACACCACCACCACCATCACGCCACCGCCACTACCACCACCGCCGCCACCGCCACTACCACCACCGCCACCACCACCACCACCACCATCACACCACCGCCACTACCACCACCGCCGCCATACCACCCCAACCACCGTCGCCACCACCACCCCCATACCACCGCAACCACCGTTGCCGCCACCACCACCCCCACCACCATACCACCGCCACCACACCACCACCACTGCTACCACCGTCATACCACCACCAGTTATTATTATTATTATTATTATTATTATATAACAAACAACATCACTACCACTACACCACCACCACCACCATAATATTTTTGATATATTATTAGTTATTTTTTTTATTATATTTAAAATTATTATTATATTATTATACATGTTGTAATATTCTAAATAAAATAATTAAAATGTTTAATTATACAATTCTACTCATTTTCCAGAAAATGAACCAAACACACAAAAACAGTTTTCCAGAATGCAACCAAACACTGGAAAGGAAAATGTTTTCCGGAAAATGACTCATTTTCCAGAAAACATTTTCCAGAAGTCATTTTCCAGCTTTCCAAACGGACCCTTATTTTAATAGCGAAGATAGAATTTTCAACACCAAACCCAAACACAAAGATTTGTAAAATTTAGGAGTCAGATTTAAATCCATACCTTACTTAGACTAATTCTCATTTGCATTAAGTTGGCTCAATTAAGGGACAAAGTACTGACTATATTGATTTTTTTATACGAGAAAATGTTTTGAACTCTCGACCTCTTTTATGATATGAGAGTATACAGTCACTCATGTCAACTAAGCTGGTTAAAGGTTTATAAAATTTAACACAACTTTTAGTACTATTTTCTTTTTCCTGCAACAAAGGATACAAAGATAGTTTAAATGTGATTAAGGAAAGAGAAAGAAGAGAGTTTTCAAACTTGAATTTAATACACTTCATCTAATTGTGTCTTGGATGCAAATGGATCTACCAAATAATCTATAATATTCTTTTATCCAATTTGAAAATTCCTTAACACGAAGCAAATTGCACTTTTCTAATTTAAATATCTTAAAAGAGATTAAGAGAGAATCAATCAATGTTAGTAATATGAATTATGCCAATAGCCCTATACTTATTGCAAAGTTATATATTACGTTTGAAAATATATACTATTAGTCGTTTTATAGAGCAATTTTTTTTTTGTCAGACCATAAGGTGTCCTAAACAGACCCTAATTGTAGGAGACACTTTTAAGTCCGTATCATACTTAGACTAATTCTCGTTCGTATCGGGCTGGCGCAATTAAGGGACAAAGTACTGGCCAGATTGATTTTTCCATGCGAGAGGGGGTTCAAACTTCCGACCTCTCTTAAGGACAAGTGTGCACGGCCACTCACACAAAAAATTATCCTTACATTGTTAACATTTTGTTATTTTACGTAACTATACGTAATTAAACATAATTTTCTTTCTTATATAAAAATAATCTATCTAATATAAATGAAAGTATTAAACCAAAAATTTATCATGCCACCTAACGGATATATTATACCCACGACCCGACCTGGGGGGGGGGGGAGAGGGGGGTAGCAATACGGACCCGGAGTACCACGTTGGAGGCCTAAAGCACCCGGTCCACAGCACCATGGAGGTACCCCGACCCGAGCCGAGTTATGTGGGGGTCAGGTCGGGTGGCACGACCCTACCCAAGCTCAGGACCCGACCCGACCCGGTCCGCTCGGGTCCCCAGTCAAAGGGCGATCTAACCGCCCCCCTCTTCAGGTGGAGCGGTTGGGGGGTTTGCTGCATATAAAAACCCCCCACCTCACCTTGTTAGGACATATATTCACTATTCTATACACTTTGTCTTACTAAATCGTTGTAATAGTCAATTCTACGACATTTAATATAATATACGGTCTCACGGCCTTTACGACATCGTTCTATATTATTTATTTATTATTCGTATTACATTCTTATCCGGATTTATTGATTCGGGTCCACCCCGGATTAATTAAATCCATCATTAGTGCGAAGGTGAATATTAATAAATGATTTAATTTTAATATAAGAAAATAGAATTTCTCAATTAAATAACATAATATCTAATGATAATAATAGACAATAATGGAAAAAATAAAAAGAGCCAAATTTCATGACAGTCCAAAATTTGTATTTTATAGCCCTTCATCCTCCGCAAGTCACGTTGCATTCAGTTTAGTGATCAAAATTGTCAATCTTTAATCAACACAAAAACCACCAGTGGGGTTGGCAAATTTTTGTTTTCATACTAAATAAATATAATAACAGCTCAGCTCTTTGTAATTAAATAATAAATACGTGTTAATTATTTTGACCATGGTAACATAATTAACTTATCAGTTAATTTTGACTTATTTGATCACTATTAGCTGTTTGACTTAATTGGTTAAATAGTTAATATTAGTATTTGATTAATTATATCAAAGCAACTTTTTTCCGATAATCTTTTAAAAAAAGTCATTTTGTATATAATAAGCTATCAGCTAACAACTAATTACCAAACATTTTTCTACAGTTAACTAATACTATCAATTAGTCAAACCCATTAATCCAATTAGCTAACAAATATTTACCAAACACCCCCTTTATATATTATCAATATTCACCTTCTATACCAACTCGTCCTCATTTTTCACTATTAAAATGAAACGGTCTATTCCAGTTTTATATCTTGACTGTTTTGTTTTTTGCTTTTGTTTGTTTTCAAAATCCATCAAATTTAGTTCTTAATTACTAAAAAAAAAATTATAATTTTTTTTAAAGCTACTTACTATATTACATTACAGTATCTGTTCATCACAAAGAGTTAACACCGTCTCCACTGAGACTCGATTTTATGAACTCCCATATAGAAGAGTCACTACATGTTATCTGAGCACGACCCAATATGTAATTTAACTATTTAAGCATATTGCGCCCCAACATTTAATTTTTTTTTTCCCTCCCATCAAACTCTTTTAATTGAAAGATGAAATCACACGTTAATTAACCATCTTTATTAAATCATGGAATGATAAAAATTCAAACAGAATTAAAGAAATTAGATGAAAATCAAGGATGCATGTAATAAAACAAAACTAAAAGAGCAGAACTAAATGTGAAAATATCACAATAATCGACGACTATAATTGAAATCTGCTTGTTTTGGTACGCCGGTGCTAGCTTTTACCCACATTAATTAATATTCTAGAATGAGCATACAACTTTGCTCAATTTACAAGCATGCTTAATTATTGCTTCCTGACTGACCAAGTATAGAAACCATTTATTTCAACAAGCTAAGTCAGCATGGGTCTCCAGCAGCCCAGCTTCATGAGCCCCACCCCCCTTTGAAAACCCAGCAAACAAACACAACCTAGTTAATGATTTCCATGACTTTTAAACCTTGTTCATTTTCATGGTACATAAGAATTTCTTAAGAGCTCAGAATCTCTTGGTGTATATAACCATAATGTGCCCCTAACATTTCACAATCAAACCAAACCAAACCAAACCGAACTCAGAAGAGATGCCGGGGTTTTGTTTTAGCCAGGCGGTGGCTCATGTTAGAGCCCGCTCGCCTATTCAACCATACAAGAAGTCGGTCCATCTAATGGCGGGCGATGACACAACCGAGTTTTCTAGCAAAAACAGCACGGAGATGAGGTTCAACGGTAAGGATCAGAGGCCAGAAGGTGAATGTAGGGATAATAACAGAGTCATGGTTGTGGTTGATATGAGCATTGAAGCAAAAGGTGCTCTGCAATGGGCACTCTCTCACACTGTTCACACCCAGGATACCATTATTCTCCTCCTTGTAACCAAGCCCTTCAAACAAGGTAATTAAACTTCTCTCTTTCTGCCCAAAATTTGCTTTCTTCCCCATCATTGTTATAGCGAAATGACGGGGTTTTGTATAACAGGTGAAACCTCCTGCAACTGCGAACTCGATCAAAGGGCATACGAGCTTCTTTGCTCCATGAAAAATATGTGCCAGACAAGGAGACCCGGGGTTAGTGATCTAATTCTTGCTCTTTCTGCACCATTTAGCTTCTAGGGATAACCCAGCCAAGATGACTAAGAATACAAACTTGTAGCCACAAGGTTACGAGTTCGAATCCCAATCCGAATCCTCTTGGTTTGAGCCAGTCAGCTATAGACAACCTAAGCTGGTTTACCTCATTCTGGTCCTTACTTCACCATAGAAGCACAAAACCACTTAAACCTCACCTGTAAATCTGCAATCATGGAAATTTAAATAACAGCCAAAAGATTTTGTTTATCATCTCTTAAACATTACACGATTGGCACTAAAATTCCACAATCTTCATGGAGTAGGTGCAAGTGGAGATAGTAGTGCAAGAAGGGAATGAGAAAGGAGCAGTAATTGTTGAAGCAGCCAAGCAGCAGAAGGCTTCTTTGCTGGTGTTGGGGCAAAGGAAACGAACGGTGATGTGGCGGGTGCGTACTATGTGGTCGGGGAAAAGGGCTCAGAAGTCGAAGGTTGTGAGCTATTGTATTCAGAATGCAGGCTGCATGGCAATTGCAGTGAGGAGGAAAAGCCGGAAACATGGAGGGTACCTGATCACCACTAAGCGTCACAAGGATTTCTGGCTTTTGGCATAGTGGAAGTGATAACAAAGTGAAAGTTTGAGGTTATTGTAACTCCATTTTGTAGGGAATATATATATATATATATAGTTTGTTTTCTCCATTGAAATTCCCCAAGCTCACACATCTGGTGTCAAGGCATCAGAGTTGCTGCACAAGATAGAAGAACAGAGTTTTATCAGTTTCTATAACCAAAGATTAAGCTAGTAGTGAGAATACACAATTGCTATTTTATATTTAGTGTACAAAGGTGCAGAAAAGGTGTGATTAGAAAAGAGAATATATGACCCCATATATACATGCTAGATGACCTCTAAGAAGGAAACAAAATAACTTTTTTCCTGATCACCCACGCAAATCCCTATAATTAAGTGATCCCCAATCCATTCTACCTAATATATATACATCCCATAACACTGCCCAGTCAAGTTGGAATAGGTCCCCTAATTGTTCTCCGAATCTCCGGTCACAAATTCAATGGAGTTTAAGTCTTGTTGTATCTTTTCACGAACGAAGTGGCAATCGATCTCTATATGCTCGTTCATGAAATACTGGATTTGATGCGATACGAAGAGCAGTTTGATAATCACACCACAATTTTGCAAGGATCGGAGCTTTGAAACCAAATTCATTTAGAAGGTTATTTATCCACATCACTTCACATGCCGATTGTGCCATTGCTCTATATTCAGACTCTGCCCTTGAACAAGAAACCACATTCTGCTTTTTACTCTTCCATGAAACCAGATTACCTCCAAAGAAAACACAATATCTAGTTGTTGATCTTCGATTCTTCGATCTTCTTTGGATCTTGCCCAATCAACATCAGTGAAACACTCAATCTTAGTATGACCATGATTCTTATATAGAATTCAATGTCCAGGGCTCTCTTCAAGTAACTCAAAATATGCTCTACAGTTGCCCAGTGATCAATAATTGGGGATGTCATGTACTGGCTCATAACACTAATTGGCTATGCAATATCTGGAAAAGTTACTGTCAAGTAATTTAGCTTCCCAACTAATCTCCCGTACCACTCTGGATCTTCAAACATTTCTCCCTCTTTTGACAGTTGCATGTTCGGTATCATGGGCGTATTGTGTGGTTTAGTACCCAATTTCCCCATAACAAATAGGATAATGACGGAAACCTAGGAACAATTAGAGAAAAGGCGGGATAGTGATAATTATATTATCATTTAGGAAGTGCAATGTTAGGAAGAAAGTTACTGCTTGAAAATATAGGGATACCTAAGATGGCTTTTAAATTGGGTAAATGTCTCCCAAAGATGAACGAGCTGGAAAACATTTTCAGCCTAGAACATAAGTTTTGGAAGATATTTTTCATGGAATTCTATATTCAAAAAATCGTTTTCCTCTCATTCTTGAATTGCCAAGGAATAAAGGCACTTGTTATCTGTGATTCTTTTTGCAACAAAGTGAGGAACAACAATAGAGCTTTAGTTTTAAAAGAAACACTGATACCTTGAAATTGACTTTGGAAATGAAGTAGTCCACCTAGCCATGAATTTTGATCTTGAGTTAAAAGAATCACAAGCCAGATTACATGTTCTGATCCCGTATTCCACAGGACCACAAAGCTTCAATTTGCAGGATGAAAGGATTATAAAAATCCATACCATAGGAGTATAGGATTAGAAGCTGTGAATGCCCCATTCAGCAAGAGAAACTTCAAATTGCAAAATCTGACGAAAATAATTCGTTGACAACTAAATCTCAACCAAAAATTCTGTCTAATGGTCTTATGTAGACTGCCAGTTTTTTTTTTTTAGTTTTTTCTTTTCTTTTCCTTAATTTTCAAATCAAAAATAGTTAAAGTTATGATCTTTGATGCCAATTTTACTTCGAGAACCCAGTTAATAACAAACCTAATCTTATTACTTTGATTCCTCAACTTCAAATCGGGATATTCGCCAACATGATGATATATGCAAGCCTTCATTATGACCAACTTTAAATCAAGATTTTTTTTTTCTTGCAACTTCGACCCTTAATAATAATAATAATAATAATAATAATACCATATTCAAAATTCATACCCAAAGCTAATACATTTCCAGAAAAAAACAAAATTTAAACATAAACATAAATGCGTGAGATTTGACAAATGGGAAATTACCAGAGACGGTTAAAAGGCACGCCAAGGGAGGAGCGGCGGAGCTGAAGAACTAGCGACACTAACCACCGAGCTTTGGCGGCAGGTGACGGACGAGAGAGGGTGCGACAGAGGCAAACCGCCAAAAATTAACTACTTTGTACGATGTTATTTACGAGTCAATTTTAATATTTTATGGCGGGAAAATCGAGATAAGCAATGTGCATTTAGGTCCTTATATTACGCTATGATATTGAACATTTGAACTTATGTTGTTGCAATATAAGATTACGATAATATTTTTTTTTTTTTTTTTTATGTGCATTGTGTAATTATACTAAGAATTGAAGTTTGGAACCTATAATAATTAGTAAAAGCAATAAGCATTAGAAATAGAGAACGAAAAAGAAATTAAAATTTCAAATTTATTAAAAACTTCTTTGTAAACTACATTAGTGATTCAACTACAACTATTATTTAACTCACTACAAATTAAGATTTTGAGATCCTTTGGATTGCTGTCGCTACATATAATTGTCTATGTACACATATTGATTTCAATATTAGCAATCCAACATGAGATAGTGTTTGTCAATGAATTTTATTTATGATCATCGCATATGAAATAACTAACGAGAACTGTTTCTTTTAAATTTGACTGGCAATCTTGGATCTAACGGTTTCATAGTCATTCGAGGAACCAACACCCCAGTACATTTATAATCACCCGTCATTATTTTTGCTTCTGTTACTTGTTCTGCCAACCTAGTCACTATCAGCCTGGTACCATTAAACAATCCGAGAAAGTTGTAACACTCCCAAACAGGGCCGGTCCAAACATTTTATAGGTCCGGGGCAAAATTAAAAAAAGGACCCCTATATGAAAAATTGAAATTAAAATTTAATAATACTAATAAAATCATGATGTCAAATAACATGAAGTAAGATTAGAAAATTTCCAACAATTTTTTTATATACAAAAATATTCATGACATTCACAATAAAGATTAATATTCTGCATAAATAAATGAAATTATGACATATAGGCCAATTAATTCTGAATAAATCTCCATTAATATTTGGATATCAACATTCAATAGGAGCAATCCAAAAAGATTAAAAAGAGACAATATGAATTACTACAACAAATTAATTCAAATTAATTAGTAAATTAAACCAAAAAATTACTTTGGCATCTGACAGATGCCATTTTACTTTTAGAAGCAATAGATACAACAATACAGCTCATTCAATATTTCAATTAACAATTAGGAATTTAGAATTCTGGATTAATGGATAATTATTTAATCTACAAACTAAGCCATGACTTGTAGTTTTCAATTATGCAAATCCCAATTAAAAATTATCATTCTTAAATAAATTATAGAACTTTCAGAAATCGGAATTCTACAAATTCCTAATGCAGTACATTCTACAATTCTGCAAATCCCAATTTCCAAATGGCCAAATCATAGATTTTTCAACAATACAATTAACAATACGGCATAATTCCCAAATCATAGTTTTCAAAAAAAAAATCTCAAATCATAAAAATTAAAATACCTTTGCAAATTACAATTGTAGACCGGAGTGGTAAAGGCGTGGCGAACAGAGTCAGGATCGGCTGACTGCAGAGAAGATTTGTTATTTGTGGATTATGAAAGTAGATTGTCGATTCACTCGATTGCCCATTCTTATTTAGCTTCTGGACTTTTAATAACTCCTTGAGATGAATTGAACGGCTGCTGTGGCGGAGAGGTATTGAATGGTTGTGACTTGCAATGCGCCGATGCCTCTTTTCTTCGGTTCTTCCTAAATCTTCCATCTATTCGACTTCCATAAGAAGTCGTTAAGTAAAAAATAATTAAATAATTTTTTCTAATATATACTAAGTAATATATATAATATACAATATATTATTATATCTTAGTCTATGGGCCCCCTCTAGGGATGGGCCCTAGGCAGAGGCCCAACCTGTTCATGCCCCAGGGCCGGCCCTGCCCCCAAATTCTAAATACAAAAAAGTCAAAGAAATGCAAAAGCGAATTTAATACTTTAAACTCAATGGGGTGTTATTTCACGCTTAGGTTACTCTATAAAACCCAAATGCACAGGCTTAGGGCATCCCCAATAGGGGTTCATGATAAGCTTTTAGAATAGTAAAACCTTCTATGCTAAGCTTTTGATTAATGGGAGGGTTGACTTTTGTGAAATTCTTTCTCATGCAAATTCAAAGCTTTTATCAGTTCAAAAAAAAAAAAAAAAAAAAAAAAAAAAAGGAAAAAAGTGAGACGCGCGTTTTAGAGTGGCCGCCAGTTGATTCTTTTAGCTTTTTATTTTTATTTTTAACTTTTGTGGCCGTTGATGTGCTAGCAACCGCCACAATGTTATTTTTTTCATAAAATTATTTGTATTTGATTTTGTTATTATTATTTTTAGTTTATATCATATAAATGTAGACATGTAATATATTATTTTAATTTAACTATTATATTTATTAATAGTTTAATTCTAATTTTATAATTATCATTTCAATTAAATATGTAGATACGTTAAGATATTTGTAATTATAAAATTATTTAAAATTTTGATATGTTTAATTGAAATATAAATATATAATAAAAACAAAATTACAATTATAATTTTTAGAATAATAATAGATAAAGAAATAATTAAAATATGGAGATAAAATGGTGGGTCCACAAAAAATTGTGAAAATTTTTAAAACTAATGGAAAGAAGAGATTTTGTAATTAAGTGAGATACTGGATGATGAGGTGGATGTTGGGGTCCTCAAAAATCTGGGATAAAATCCCCAACTATTGAGGATGCCCTTACAAAAGTTCTAACTACAAACCGTTTACAATGTACAAACGAACTAACTGTAGAACAAGTTAGGTTCTATTCCAATCAACTAAACCATCCATTGTAGTCAGTGCTCTCTCGGGAAACATCTCTAAGCCAACATGAAATCATTTTACAAAAATTAGAGAATAATGCTAAGTAAAACCACTCCAACACGTAAAGATACATAAGTATACTTTTATACTCAAAATAGGTTTTGCAACGGTATGACTATATATATATATATATATATATATATATATATATATATATATATACACA